GCAACTTCCAACTCTTGGACCCAAGTGATTCTCTTGCCCTAGCCTCCCTAGTAGCTGGGAGTATAGGTGCCCGCCACAATGCCCGGCTATAGTTTTTCTATTTTCTTTTTAATTTTCCTTTTTTTTTTTTTAGTTTTTCTATTTTTAATAGAGACGGAGGTCTCACTCTTGCTCAGGCTGGTCTTGAACCCCTGAGCTTAAGCAATCCAACCACCTGGACCTCCTAGTGCTGGGATTATAGGCATGAGCCACTGCGTCTGGCTACCCCACCACCATTCTTTACTAGGATGAATCCTACTTATTGCTCTAGTCTCAGTTTCAAAGTCATTTCCTCAGGGATGCCACCCCTACACCCCTGGGCCTGGCTCACCAACTTGGGTGCTTGGTGGGTAGCATGAACAGGAGACTTGGGCTGGTCAGCATCATAACCAAGTGGGGCCCGCGTGCCTCATCTAAAGGGAGGACCCATCTCTCTGCTCCACTAGACCACAGCCATGTGCGAAGGTGGGCCCAGGGTAGCCAGATTCCCCTAAGATTTCAACAGAAGTCAGAAAGCCAGATTCATGTGAAATCCTCTGAATGTTAAGCTTTGGTAACTAAATATGTCTAAGCATTGTACCCAGCCCACAGATTTGAGACCTTCTCCTTGTCTGACCTATATCCTTCCTATAGGTTCTCCCAAAATCCTCAACACCCCCTTTTTTAAACTCTTGCCACTTGTAATTGCTTATTCAATATCACCCTGGATGGAAGCCCGAAGAAGGCAGGTGTGGGCCTACTATGCTGCCCAATCCCGGGGCCAGACACATAGTAAAACTTGCTCAATTAACAAATGAGATGATGCTGTCAGTTCATGATGTCTGGGGTGGTCCAGTCAGCCTGCCTGAGTCTGAACCCTCGCTCTGCCAGGGGAGGATATGAGATCCTTACCCTGGAGGACTTCACAAGGCAGAGACTCCCCCTTATGAGTCACTTAAGCTGAGCCTGCCCCTTCACAGGAGATGGCTTATGTCATCATTTCCTACCCACTAGTCTCTCAGCAGGCTTTGGGGCATTGAGGCTGGGGGTGTGGGAATGGCTTTGGAAATATACTCTGAAGTGACTGCACCAACAGTAGGCCCGGGGGCGGGTGTGGGACAGAGTGGCACAGAGAGGACTTGGGTAAAACATGTAACCTGGCACAGGGCCTGGCATGGTCCCTGCTTAAGAAACAACAGCTGCCACCAGGATTTTGAGAGATGGAACAGCCTAATGTCTAAGAAGCCAAGGTCTTAGCTTGCTTTGGGCTATGGGAAGTTGCTTTATCTCTCTGGGCCTCAGTTTCTACATCTGTGGAGTGAGGATGGTAACGGTACCTACCTTACTCTGCTTTTGTAAAGAAATGCAAAGCCATGCAAAATGCCGGGCAAGGTCTGACACACAGTTGGCCCTCTCTAAATGCTGCTGTTGCTGTCACTAAGGACAGCACGCATTCAGGCACACACTCAGTTCACTCAGTTCATGCTTGCTAAGTGTCTACCAGATGCAGCCTGGATGGTGAGAACACAGAGTGAACAAATACATAAAATTGTAGCAGAGGATGGCAAGGCAGGTAGGATATGATCTGAGCCAGGTCAAGAGGTAGCTTTGCAATCTTAGAAAATGAGGCCTCACTAACAAGGTGACATGTGACCAGAGGCCTGCAGGAGGGGAGCAAAGGAGCCACCTGGGGATCAGGAACATGATCCTGCAAGAAGGCATGGGACAAGCAAAGGCCCTGAGGCTGGGCGCCACCTTGCACACTGGAGAAACAGCATAGCTAGGGCAAAGAGATGTCAACAGGGAGCCCAATCACATAAGGCCTCATGGGACCTTAGTCACTGACACATGAAAACTCAGCTGACACACAAAACTCAGTGAGTGGTGGGAACACTAGGAGTTTGTCCTTGGATGTGTTACATTTCATAGATCGCTCAGACACCCACGTGGAGATGCTGAGTAAGCAGTTAGCAACTGTCTTGAGTTTGGGCACAGATAGGTTTCAGAGTCAGAAAAACTTGAATTCAGACCCCAGTTTTGCCACTTACTGGTTATAAAATCTTATGTTGAGTATCTATATGTCTCTGAGCCTCAGTTTCCTCATCTGACAAGTGGGAAAATAAAAGGACTTCAGGGAGTGGATGTGAACATTATATGAGATCATGCATGTAAAATGCTTAGCACAGAATAAGGCTTCAATACACTGATTCAACTAACCAACTAGCTAATCAGTGATTATTGAACATCTACTATGTACCAGACCTGTTCTAGGCACATCAGACAATCAAGCGAGTAAAATAGATGGAGGTCCTGCTTCCCAGATCTCATCTCTAACAGGAAATCTAAATGCTAGCTACTGTTCCCTGCAGTGGCACACATTTTGCAATTAGGGCAGCTGACAGCAGGTCTTTATCCAACCTGAAGTTAATGAGAGAGAGCAAAGACCAAGGAGGGTGAGGAGAGCCACAAGTCACAGTGGCATAGTAAGGTCACAGCCAAACAACTCAGGCAAGCCTGTCTGGGTAACATAACTCATCTTATCCTTAAAATGTGGACATGATGCAGGATGATTCTTGTTCCCATTTTTCAGGTGGGAAACTGAGTCATACAGAGACTGAATAACTTGGGTCAAGGTTACACAGTTGGTAAGTGCTGTGCCAGGACCAGAAGCCAGGCTTTCTGACTCCAGAACTTGTGATCCTAACTCCTGTGTGACACTGCCTTCTCTATTTAGCATGTGTGACATGTCACTCTGCTAAACTCACTGCACAGACCATCCTGACCACAGTGTTCCTTCTCATGAAGCTTAGATATGGACATGGCCTGAGTATTCTCAGCACAATGCTCCAGGCAGACATTACCAACTAAGCAGTCACTAATCTGCCACTCTTGATTTGGTCAATGGTCTGAGCTGTTCACTAGGAGTTTAGGGTAAGATTTCTAGCCAGACTGTGAATCTTTATCTTTTAATAGGGCAATTTAAACCACTCATATTTATTGTGATTACTTACACGGAACTTATTCCTTTTATATAATTTTTATACTTGTTTCTTTTATCATGCTTTCTTATATATTTTTTTCTCCCCCTGTATCTTCCTTATCCTTTAATGGCCTAAAACCTTTACATTAGATTTTAATTCTTCTAGAAAGTACTCTTTCTTTCTTTCTTTGGGACGGGGACAGGTTCTTGCTCTTTGGCCCATGCTGGAGTAGAGTGGCCTCACCATAGTTCACTGTAGCTCTGCAGCCTTCAACTCCGGGGCTACACCCATCTTCCTGCCTTAGCCTCCCAAGTAGCTGTAACTACAGGCATGCACCATCATGTTCAGGTAGTTTTCTTTTTTTTTTTTTGAGACAGAGCCTCAAGCTGTCCCCTCTGGGTAGAGTGCCATGGCATCACAACTCACAGCAACCTCCAACTCCTGGGCCTCGACCTCCCGAGTAGCTGGGATCACAGGCGCCTGCCACAACACCCGGCTATTTTTTTGGTTGCAGCTGTCATTGTTGTTTGGTGGGCCCGGACTAGATTCAAACCTGCCACCTTAGGTGTATGTGGCTGGCGCCTTAGCCACTTGAGCCACAGGTGCCAAGCCGCAGGTAGTTTTCTAATCTTTTGTAGAGACAGAGTCTATGTTGCTCCGATTGGGCTCCAGCTCCTGGGCTCTAGTGATCCTCCCACTTCAGCCTGCCAAAGTGCTGGGATTATAGGCATGAGCCACCACACCTCAGATAATCAAGCGGCGTATAGGCACATCAGACAATCATGCCTCTTACATTAACATAAGCTTAAATTTATACTTTCTACAAACTTCTAGGGTTAATAAGTATGTCTCTTATCCTTCCACAGTAATGGGCTGGAGAACTTCAGATCCCTGGCCTAAACCTTCCCCAGAAAGAACCTATGCCATGGGACCTGACAGACCTGTAGTGTGTATGTGACAATTCTGATTTTCTTGAGGCTAATTAGTGTCTTAAGGCCTAACTGACTGGGTACGGGACGGTGTTCCTAAAGCCAGAACTGTGCACACTACTACAGCACTGCCTGGCTCCCTCCCTTACCTTCAGTCTCTGCACAATTTCCCTTATGTCTTCCATGGAGTCCTCTGTGGCTCGGAGGAAGATGTGGTCTCCTCGCCCATAGAAGATTTTGAGTGTCGAAGCATCTGGGGTCCAGCCAATGACATCCCCGCAGTAGCAGTTGAACACCACTTCCTTGGTTCGTAGGTCCAGGAGCACCACAAACTCATTGGAAATTCCCAAAATGCAGTCAATTTCTGCCCCCTGGGCATAGTCCTGAGCAGCTACCCTCCAAGCAATGGCCCCTGCACTGTGCTGCTCAGCACCTGCCCGGGCTTTTGTTTTCTCCTTCTTCTTGGAGGTCAGGGAGATGAGGTTGAATTTGCCACTGGAGTCAATGGGTGTGTTGGAGACACAGTTCTCAGCTAGGTCCTTGAGGTACTCCTGGCGGGTCCTGGTGGCCATAGTGTGGAACTTGTCAGACTTGTGTGCAGCATTCTCAGCGTTAATCACCTTGGCTAGCAAGAAGTCTCTGAAGACATCAGACTTCCGGAATGTGGTTCCACTGGGGATGGGGGGGCCGAAAGGAGGAGCGTCTTTGGATCGGGTTACAGCCATGCTGAGGAGGGAGAGATCATTTAGATGGTGGGAAGAAACACACTAAGATGCGTTAGTAAGACAACATACAATCAAAAATAGGAATTTCCTTTTGAAAGAAGGAAAGTAGATGTCTAATTAAAAGTTGCTGGCTTACTAGGTTAGAAATTCAATAAAAAGTCTTAGGGCACACACATATATGTTTACTTAATATATAGCAGATATTTGAACATCTGACATTAAAAGATAATTCCCCAAGTATTGTTTAATTTCAGTCATTCTTGGTTTACGTACATATACACTGTGTGGTGGATTAGATTACAATTCAGCAAAAATTCCCTCCCTCCTCCCCACCTTCATCTGCAGGTATACCCCCTTGAGCTGACCTTGAGCCTGATCATGTGACTTGATTTGGCCAATGGCTTTCAAACAAAGGGTTGAAATGTATGTGCATGGGGGGCTGGGCTTGCCTCCTGTGCTCCTGCCATGCCCAAGTGAGCAACAGGTGGCTTGCTAATCCCAGAAGGATAAGGGATACCCGGAGCCATATCTAGTCAGACCTCAAAAGACCTGCAGTTGGGTGACCAGAAAGATAGGTTGATGTTTGTAAGCCACTGAGTTCTAGAGTGCTTTGTTACACAGCATTATTGTAGGAATACATGACTGGCATGGAATGTTTATATAATTTAGTCCTTTCAAATCTCTGTGTAACATAAACACACTGTGTACATCAGTTTAACAGAGGTTATTTTGAAAATTCATTGTAAATCAGAACGGGACTTTTCCTGCCTTAGTTATGATGGAGATACCATTATGATAGAAATGAGACAGCAGCTCATTGAAAATGTAAAAAGAAAATGATTTAAAAACATGTTCCCCAAAATTCTTGAATCCCTTGACCCACCTCTATAAACTACAAAGCAGGGAAGCAGCCTATGGAAAAAGCTGGGTGGGGAGGCCCTCTCTCCCCACCCCACCCTCCCTGTGAGACGCAGTGAGCAGACAGAAGAACAGACCGCCAGCTATGACCACAGTGCACGTGGTACCTCCCTGCCTCCATATCCTCCCTGTTCTCTGACCTCGGATGGGTCCGAACCCAGTAGTCAGCAGGGCTGGGTGGCGGAGAATCACAATCTGGAGAAACAGGAGAGGTACCAGGCTCACTATCCACCCAGGCTTCTAGACAGAAGCAGCCCTAAGCTGGGATGGAAGGAAGATTTGCTTATGAGTCAAGATCAGAGATTTGATGAATATCTTGGATGTGACTTTCTAATGACCAAATTCAGACTCAGTGGCCTCTGGGCAGATGATTTCTAAAAGTGAGCAGGAAGGCCATGGTGCCTGCTGGAGTATTAAGGGTCAAGTGATTACACTGTTTACATAACAACAGTATGAGGTGATGTAAATCGATAAGTAATAAATTAACTTTTAAAAAATTTTTAATTTTTTTTGTTTGTTTGTTTTTTGGAGATAAGAGTCTCACTCTGTTGCCCTGGGTACAGTGCTGTGGCATCATCCTAGCTCACAACAATCTCAAACTCCTGGGCTCAAGCAGGTGCCCACCACAATGCCTGGCTAATTTTCCTTTTCGTGGAGATGGGTCTCACTACGTTGCCCACACTGATCTTGATGTCCTGTGCTCATGAGATCCTCCCACCTCAGCCCCTCAAAGTGCAGGGATTACAGTGAAAGCCACCATGCCTGGCCTAATTTTTCTTCAAGTATATTTATTGCATTCAACTTCTATAAAAACCTCAACTTGTGAGTATGGTGTTCAGAAGGCATTTCTACTGTTTCTTTTCCTATTGTAGGATAATTTTTTTTTTTTGGAGACAGAACTTCAAGCTGTCATCTGGGTAGAGTGCCATGGCGTCACAGCTCACAGCAACCTCCAACTCCTGGGGCTTAAGCAATTCTCTTGCCTCAGCCTCCCAAGTAGCTGAGACTACAGGCACCTGCCACAATAGCTATTTTTTGGTTGTAGTTGTCATTGTTGTTTGGCAGGCCCAGGCTGGATTCGAACCTACCAGCTCTGGTATATGTGGCTGGCATTTAGCCACTTGAGCTATAGCACCGAGACAGTGTAGGATAATTTTTTATTTTTTATTGTTCTGCAGTTTTTGTGTGGGGCTGGGTCTGAACCCAACACCTCTGGCATATGGGGCTGGTGCCCCACTCCTCTGAGCCACAGGTACCATCCAGGATAATTTTTTAAATAAAGAATTTATTTATTAATTAAAAAACATTCATAGCCAGGAACAGTGGCTTACCCCTAGGATCCCAGCTCTCTGGGAAGACAAGGAGGGAGGATTGATTGTGGTCAAGAGTTTGAGACCAGCCTGAGCATGATCGAGACCTGTCTCTTCTAAAATACAAAAATTAGCCTAGTGCTGTAGTGCGTGCCCATAGTCCCCACTACTTAGGAGGCCATGGCAAGAGAAATCGCTTGAGCCCAGGAGTTTGAGGTTGCTGTGAGCTATGATGCCTTGGCACTCTACCCCAGGTGACAAAGTGAGACTGTCTCAAAATAAATAAATAAGAAAAAGAAAGGGCATGGGGAGTGTTATGACAGAAGAAGAAAAGGACCTCATGCCAGATTCTCCTGGAATCTGGAGAAGGATCCTGCCAGATTCTCCCTGTCCAGGAGAGAAGTGTCTCTGAGGAAGTGACAATGACACTGGGATCGAAGGGCTAAATAGGAGCCAGAGGAAGAGTGGGGAGAAGGTGCTACAGGCTGAGGGTGTAGTACATGCAACACCAGGCTAGGGAATGATGGCACAGGATGAACTGTGGCCAGTGTGGCCAGAGCTAGGAGTGGGTGGAGATGGGGAGCAGGAGGCTATAAGGTTGCAGAGGCCAGGCCACACAGGGCGTAGTGGTATGTTAGCACTTTTCATCCTTACCATGAGGGCAAGCAGCCCTTTAATGATCTATTCCTGTGGTAAACCCATTTACTGTCCTCAGCCTTGGATCCAGTCTCTGCCATTCTCTACCCTGCTCAGTGCTCAGGAAGGAATTTATTTATGGCTGTCACCTGAGTTCTTGTGCTCTCTGGCTTCTGTCTGAGTTTGGCCAATGGGAGGCAACAGCAATAGATGGAAAAGCAGGAACAGAGCTTGGAGTATTTCTTTCTCTTCCCTCCTTCCCTGCCAGGCTGGGATAGCATCAGTGGCTGTGGTCCTTGGTCCTTTATAGCCACTGCTCCTGTTAGGTGGCCCCTCTTTCAGGGCCACAGCTCTCACCAGCTTCCAGAATCTCCTCCTCCCATCTCCCTCTGACCTGTCAAGCCTGGAGGCGGAGTAATGCTCCTTGCCAGTCCTTCCCACATGGATTCCCATGACCTGCCTATATCCCTGTTGTAGTCTGCATTAACTTCCTTCAGTTAAATCCTTGTGCAGAGAAGGTCCCCCTTCTTGCTGGGTCTCTCAAGGATGGAGATGCTGGTGGTGACACTAGATTGGCAACATACAAAGACCACTGTGGCTGCCTCATGAAGAAGGAACTGAAGGAGAACAGAACACATGCAGGTGACCAGTGCCCAGCTGCTGTGTGACCCCAATCAGGCCAGACCCCTTGCTTTCCATCTCCAGAGTCTACTGTCTAGTGACCCTTCACGGCCCAGGGGTGCCACATGGCCGGGGACCACCCTGGGTTTAGCGGATTCCCTTCAAGTCCTCATATGACTAACTCAATGACTTGAACTTGAACAGACAGACCCAGAAGAAACGGATTTCCATCAAAGTACAGTGGGTGTGGGTTTGGTAGAAACAGGCATCTCCCAGAGCAGACATTCTTCAAAGAAAGCCACACAACCCAGGCAAGTTCTCTTCTTTTTTTTTTTTTTCCTTTGAGACAGAGCCTCAAGCTGTCCCCCTGGGTAGCCATGGCATTACAGCTCACAGCAACCTCCAACTCCTGGGCTCAAGCGAGTCTCTTGCCTCCGCCTCCCAAGTAGCTGGGACCACAGGTGCCCGCCACAACGCCCGGCTATTTTTTGGTTGCAGCCGTCATTGTTGTTTGGCGGGTCCGGGCTGGGGATTCGAACCCGCCACCTTAGGTGTACATGGCTGGCGCCTTAGCCAGTTGAGCTATAGGCGCCGAGCCGCAAGTTCTCTTCTGTGAGAAATCCTGTGGGCCTGGCTTTTCCCCAGACAGAAGGTGGAGATGGCCTCCCTGGTCCCTCACCTCAAATTAATAAGGCAAACGGTGCTTTGCAGATGTGAAGAGCTTTGCAATTTCTTCATTCAGCACTTGGCTGTTAAGTGACAGATTTTGGCTTTTTCATCATCTCGATTGATAATTTTTTTTTTCACTCTATCACCCTGGGTACAGTGCTGTGGCATCATAGCTTATAGCAGCCTCGAACTCTTGGGCTCAAGCCATCTTCTTGCCCCAGCCCCCCAGAGTAGCTGGGACTACAGGTGCCCACCAAAACGCCTGGCTAATTTTTCTATTTTTAGTACAGAAAGGGTCTTGCTGGTTTCTCAGGCTGGTCTCAAACTCTTAAGCTCAGGCAATCTACTCACTTCAGCCTCCTCGAGTGCCATGATTACAGGCATGAGCCACCATATCTGTTGTGGATTCATAATTTTAAGAATCATGAAATTGCAAACTGCTGAAGGTTTCTGGACAATCAGAATAACTGGTGACGCACTCCCTAGCAGGAGGGACTGGTTTTATAGCACACAGGATGCAGGGATGATGCTGGTGCGCTGTTCAGAAACAGCACACTTGAAGCAAAGGATGATGACTTTTTATACAACTAGGAGATGGGGTGACCACCAGGTCAACTGATCACTGCAGCTTAGTGAGAATTCTCACCATTATTTATTTATTTATTTATTTATTATTGAAACAGAGCCTCAAGCTATCCCCCTGGGTAGAGTGCCATGGCATTAGAGCTCACAGCAACCTCCAACTCCTGGGCTCAAGCGAGTCTCTTGCCTCAGCCTCCCAGGTAGCTGGGACCACAGGTGTCTGCCACAATGCTCGGCTATTTTTTGTTTGCAGCTGTCATTTTTGTTTTGGCAGGCCCAGGCTGGATTCGAACCCGCCACGTTAGGTGTATGTGGCTGGCGCCTTAGCCACTTGAGCCACAGGCGCCGAGCCATCATTATTTATTCAATAGTAATTTTGTTGGTGCCTATGTTTGGGCCAAGACTGCCTACCCAGCAAAGATGTCTTTAGGACCAGCTATGTGCCACGCACTGTGCCATGAAAAATAACAGGGGGTAAATATGACATAGGGTCATCTTCAAGGGAGGTTAAGAGTGCACTCATCAGGTTGTTTTTATGCATGTGAGATGACTGCTGTGACAGAGACATATCTGGCAACCTCACATGGAAGGGGTAATGAACTACTGGAGGATGTCAGACCCTGCAAGTTCGATGTTGAAGGACAATTAGAAATGCTCTGAGGGGGAGCTAGGCAGAGGGACAGGAGGCCAGCTAGCGATCCATGGCCAGGCTCCTTCCACAGAGCAGAGACAAGGTCAGATCTGTTGTGAGAGTAGCTGCCTGTAGGGAAGGAGGGATGGGGAGAGGTGGGATGGTGGAGCTTTGGTTGTATCTCTAACATTTTCTTTCTTTAAAAATACAGGAAAGAGGGAGAGCTGAAGTAAATAAGGCAAAATGTTAACATCTGTTAAATCTGGTGGTGGGCACATGGGTGTCTGTTATATTATTTTCTGTACTTGTTAGAATGTTGAAAATATCACATAATAGGCCAGGCGTGGTGGCTCATGCCTGTAAGTCTAGCACTCTGGGAGGCCGAGGCTGGTGGATTGCTTGAGCTCACAAGTTCAAGACCAGCCTGAGCCAGAGTGAGACCTCTTCTCTAAAGAAAAAAAAAAAATAGCCGGACCTTGTGGCAGGCGCCTGTAGTCCCAGTTTCTTGGTGGCTAAGGCAAGAACTGCCTAAGCTCAAGAGTTTGAGGTTGCAGTGAGCTGTGATGCCATGACACTCTATGGAGGGCAACAGAGTGACACTCTGTATCAAAAAAAAAAAAATTAAAAAAAATCACATAATAAAAAACATTTTAAATTAAATTGTAAAAAAATAAGAAAGGGTTGTGCATCAAAGAGAAGAGATTACTCTGGACACCATACAGAGGCTGACCTGGAAGGCGGGAGGCTGCTGGCTACTGTGATGAGGCAGGCAGGAGGGGAAGGGCAGAGTGGGGCACAAGGGGAGAAGAGTCCCCAGCCAACTCAACATCCTACCTCTGATGCACCACAAGGTGGCTGCCCGTTTTGAGTGTGTGTGAGAGTCAAAGTGAGAGAGAACATCTTCCATCTTCCCTCATCAGGACTACCTTTCTTAAACCCTGGCATCATCCAAGCTCCTTAGGCCCACACAGAGCCCAAGGTGTAGGCATTCTCAGCTGCCACTGTGTGTCCCAAGAACAAGCAAGCTGGGGGAGAGGGGCCTCAGGCCTGGGATGTGCCAGCAGGCATGCGCCCTGCCACACAGTGTGCTGGCTTCCAGCAGCCAGCAGCGCATACTGGATGTCCTGCCTTCTCCGGCACAGCCAGCTGAGAGGAGCTGGTGATTCTGGCAATTCCACCAAGACTCCCAGTGCCCATATATACACTCTTTCTGACTTAGCACTTCCATCTAGGAATTTATTCCACAGCTATACACATGGACATGGGTGCAAGTATGTGTGTCATCATTAAAGTTTTGAGATATAAAAAAAAAATCAAGAAATGCAAAACCCGCACTGACAGACATAAATGAAGCCCCCTCTAGGAACACCAATAAGCTGAGCAAGCTGAAACTGGCAGGGATGAATCAGAAAAGACGCTACTGACAGAGGCGGTGGCTCACGCCTGTATCCTAGCACTCTGGGAGGTTGAGGCAGGAGCAATGCTTGAACTCAGAAGTTTGAGACCAGACTGAGCAAAAGCAAGACCACATCTCCACTAAAAATGGAAAGAGTAGCCGGGCATTGTGGCAGGCACCTGTAGTCCCAGCCGCTTGGGAGGCTGAGGCAGGAGGATTGCTTGAGCCAAAGAGCCTGAGGTTGCTGTGAGGTATGATTCCACTGCACTCTAACCAAGGGTAACAGAGTGAGACTCTGTCTCAAAAACAAATAAGTAAATACTCTCAGCTCTACCTCCCAAGCAGGGCCCACCTACACATGCTATCCCTGCCTGTCCTGCCTCCACCTTCTGCTTTTACTTTGGGCTGTCACTCCTGTGTCTCAGTCCCTGCACCCTGGTGTCCAGGCTGGGCTGGTCATTTTGGCCCTTGGATAGGTACATGATACCAACCAAGTCGGTAAGGCTCAATTCTGAGGCTTCTATGACAACTCTGGGGAAAGAAAATCTTTCTTTTTTGCTGAATTTGCAGCTGGTAGGATGTTAAGCTCACAGCTGCCAGAAAGCAACGTACAGGAGAGCAGAGCTGTGCCCAAGCTTGTCATTCTCAGAGCCAATATACACAACCACCTTTTTGTCTCAAGCCAAATTCAGATGGCTTTTCTGTCACTTATAACAAAAGATTCAAGCATATACAAATCCCTGAAGGTTGTCTTATCAAAACTCGGGAGCCATGCTGCTTTCTAGGTTAAGAATCATTCTCCTGGGGCAGCGCCTCTGGCTCAGTGAGTAGGGTGCTGGCCCCATATGCTGGAGGTGGTGGGTTCAAACCCAGCCCTGGCCAAAAACCACAAAAAAAAAAAAAAAAAAAAATTCACTCTCCTGGATGGTGTGGGAACACGTGGATGGAGCTCCCCTGTGGAAGAAGTAATGAGGAGCACAGGAGGCCGCCCACTTGCCCTGGCCGTCTGCTCACTCTGCATGCTGCCTGGGGCAGCCACTGGTTTTCAAGGTGTGCAGCCAGCATGTGCCAGGGTGGGCGGCGTGCAGCGGTGCCTACCTGTAGCAGACAGTATCGGTGCAGGGGTTGTGTGCACGGACGATGATGAAGACATGCTGAAAGTGGGAGCGGATGTTCTTGGGGGTGAAAGGCAGTGCCCCTGGCTCCTGGAAGATGATCGTCACAATGTCGTTTCCAATGTGCCTCTTCCTCAGGAGCTGGGAAATGGGCAGCATGGGGAAAAGTGTCACAGGTCAGCTTGAGGGGTCCTGCCTGGACCATCCCAACAGCTCCTCACTGTCTCCAAGTTCCCACCGTGCCCTCATACTCTGTCCCAACACATAGCCAGGGTCAGGTCATGTCCCTCCTCTGCTCAGAAACCCCTGGAGACCCCCCTCATTCAGGGTGAAGGACAAAGTCCCCACCATGGCTCAGGAGGCACCATCACCTCTCTGACATTTCCATACCCCTGTGCTCACTCTGCTCCAGCCAAGATGGCCTCCTGCTGCCCAGGACAGTCTTCCCTCAATCCCTACATGGCTTCCCTCCTCACCTCCCCAGGTATTTGCTGAGATGTCTTTTTTGTTGAGACCAAGTCTCATTCTGTCACCCTGGGTAGAGTGCCATGGCATTATTTTTCACAGCAATCTCACACTTTTGCGCTCGAGCAATCCTCTTTCTTTCTTTCTTTTTTTTTTTTTTGAGACAGAGCCTCAAGCTGTCACCCTGGGTAGAGTGCCGTGGCATCACAGCTCATAGCAACTTCCAACTCCTGGGTTCAAGCAATTCTCCTGCTTCTGCCTCCCAAACAGCTGGGACTACAGATGCCCACCACAACGCCCAGCTATTATTTTTGGTTGCAGCCGTCACTGTTTGGAGGGCCTAGGCTGGATTCCAACCCGCCAGCTCAGGTATATGTGGCTGGCGCCTTAGCCACTTGAGCCACAGGCACCGAGCCATTGAGCTATACTCTTGGCTCAGTCTCTTGAGTACCTGGGACTACAGGCACCCACCACTATGCCTGGCTTTAGCCACTTGAACCACAGGCGCCGAGTCCTTCTTTTGGTTTCTTATCTCTCTCTTCTCAATGAAGTGTCGGCTCCATGAGGACAGGGATACTGTCTGTTTGGTTCACTGCCCACTGCTATAGCCTCAGCACCTATAACAGCGCCTGGCATACAGGAGGTGCTCAATAAATCACATCTGTTAAAGGGGAGCACAGGATAGTGGCCTCTGACTTCCTCAAAGCCACACTCATGGACAATGGTTGAGTCAGACCAGAGACAGCAGCAGGGTCAGTTCTAGGCTGCTACCCCTCCCCTGGACAACTAAGCTGAGAAGGTCAGGGTGGCTGTGCCTCCAGAGTGGCCTGTGAGACCTCTGACAAGGGTGACCTCTGACCCCTCACCCTTGTCAGTCTCTGAGGAAGACGCTGCTATCTTCATGGGTGATGTCATATTCAAAGTGTTTTGCTTATACTCACATAGCTGATAAGGAATGCACTCTGGTAACATAAGATCCACAGAAGGGGGCCCCATGTAACCCTAAGTGACTCTCACTCACTCTAGAACTCCTAGTTCTTCTTTTTATTTCTCTTATTTGTTAAACTGCTTATTTATCAAGAGAAATTATTTCTTAGCCTACACACTTATAGTTGAGGAACCTTGGTCAGTAACAAACTTCTATGTAATTCAACCCAGAGAAATTCTTTATATTCCCAAATCACTTTGCACATTGAGAGATAACAGAATTCTACATCTCTTCAAAATCTTTCACGGAATCACAAATTCTGTAGAAGTCTGTGCGTGTTTGCTGTCTTTGTTGGTTCAGCCACAGTGAACTCATAGACAGTGGCGACTCCCAGGGATACAACGAATGCAAGAGAGCACGGGGGACACCGGCACTATCATTCTGCCTATTTTACAGAGGAGGGACTCAGGGCTCAGGGAGGTGAAATCACTCACCTGGGACTACACAGGTAGTAAATGGCAAGGAAGGAACTCAGACCCAGGTCTAATTTTGAGACCAGTACTCTTAATAGTATGCTATTCAGTGAACCTTATGAAATCACTGATATTTGACTTTTTTGGGCCTATAAAATCTACAATGTCACCTGTACTGACAGGAGACAAAGATATACTTCCTAAAGTGTCAATATTCTGTGGGGTTTCTGTTCCTTAGAAACTAAAAGGACTTGCCCCCTTGGGGTCCAAGAAAGGAACCGGATCACAACAGCAGCGTGTGGCAGTGGATGTGTGCTGCTGTTGCACACCCAGCGCCCCCCCTTCTGGGAGCTACGCCCACCACCTTTGGGAAAGCACCTCCCCAGTTTCCCTCCATGTATCAAGTTGAGTCGGCCCCACTCACCTCCCTGGGGGTGGGCACGTGCTTCAGGCTTGGTCAGTCATCCCCACCGCCCATGCAGGGACTGGCATGTGAATGGGCCTGTAAGATTTAACCCTGAAACACTTCTGGAGCAACTAGAAGGAACAGCTCTCCTTCCCGTGGAGTAAGTAGCTAAGCTGGCAGGATATGAGCCTAGGGCTCCTAGGGAAGAAGATCTGTGAATAATGCCACTACAAAGAAAAGCAGGTGTGAAATGGAAAGGATTGATAATATTTTCTTTTTTGAGACAGAGTCTCACTTTGTTGGCCTCTGTAGAGTGCTGTAATGTCATAGCTCCCAGCAACCTCAAACTCTTGGGTTAAAGAGGTTCTCTTGCCTCAGCCTCCTGAGAAGTTGGGACTACAGGCACCTGCCACAACGCCTGGCTATTTTTAGAGACGAGGTCTTGCTCTTGCTCAGGCTGGTCTCGAACCTGTGAGCTCAGGCAATCTACCACCTACGCCTTCCAGAGCACTGGGATTACAGGCGTAAGTCACCTTACCTGGCCAGGATTGCTAATATTGTTTGAGCTCCTGGAGCCAACCACACCTAAAGCCAGATTCTTTCTAGAACCCAGTAACCCCAGTTTCTGCTTATGCTAGCTTGGTTTGGGTTTCTATCATTTGCGGTCAAAAGGCTGTTGACTGATTCACTCTTCTTTTTCATAAGATCAGTGATGATGGCTCGGCGCCTGTGGCTCAAGCAGCTAAGGCGCCAGCCACGTACACCTAAGGTGGCGGGTTCAAATCTAGCCCGGACCCACCAAAACAACAATGGCTGCAACCAAAAAATAGCCGGGCGTTGTGGTGGGCGTCTGTGGTCCCAGCTACTTGGGAGGCGGAGGCAGGAGACTCGCTTGAGCCCAGGAGTTGGAGGTTGCTGTGAGCAGTGAAGCCATAGCACTCTACCCAGGGGGACAGCTTGAGGCTCTGTCTCAAAAAAAAAAAAAAAAAAAGATCAGTGATGACTCAAGAGACCTTGAGGAGAGTGCGGTAGGTAGAGGCCAGCAGGATGGCCAAGGAAGAACAATGCCAGAGGGACATCAAATCACACCTGGCCTAGTCTTGAACCCCCAGGCAGAGTGGCCATGCTTGGGTGGGAGGATGCCTGAGAATTACTGACCTGCTGTCTGTTGTTGGGGGTGTAAGGGAGCAGGGTAGAGACGTGGAACATGATCTCGTAGTCCTGGTAGGTAGTGTAGAGGGAGTGGGTTCCTGTGGAGTCCGCTGCGAGAGAAACACCAGTTAGCACCCTGCTTCCCAGACCTCTGGGTTTTTGTCATATCCCACATGCCATCTGTGCTGGTTTTCAACTTGATGCTTTCACTTAAAATCCACCCTTTAAAATTAAATAAATCTAGATAGAGAGGAAACCTCATATTATACACCCACCAGATTGGTAAAATTAAAAAGTCTGACAGTACCAAGGGTTGGTGAGTGAGGATGTGGAGCAAAGGGAATCATTATACGTGGCTGGTTGAGCGTGGACATCGGTACAACCACTTTGAAAACCTTTTTAGCAATATCACATAAATCTGAAGCTAGGCTTAATCAGTAACCTAGCACCTCCTCTCCTAGGACCACAGCCTAGAGAAATCATGCTAGCACTTCCACTTGCCGACTTCCTATGTGCTGGGCGTGTTTTGTGGCCTGGCCACCTCGTCAGCACACTTGGCTCGACATCCACACTAATAGAGTTCTGGGCAGTGCCTGGCACTGGCTGAGGGGGCAGGTTTTGGTCACTGTTGTCACCCTGAACCCTCACAACACTCCTGAGGTGAACACAATTATTACCCTCACTCTACAGACGGGGAAACTGAGGTGGGGGAGACAAAGCTACCTGTCCAAGGTCATAAAACTAGCAAACGGCACAATTAGATGTTTCTCTTTCCCAATGCCTTCTTTGGTGGGGGAGGTGACGGGGATGATGATGATGATGATGATGCCACAGGCACTTGCTTCATGCCTGACTTACCTTTCTAAGGTTAGTTGCCAGATCTGGGCCTCCACTCTCCAGATAAGCAGTCTGGGTCTTGGCGAAGTGTGGTGAAAAGCAAGTGACAGACCATCTTGGGGCTTTCTGACTTCTAATCTGAGCAACTAACCAAGGACAGCCCACCCCCAGGGACGGTGGCAGTCCATTCATCATGAACACCACCCATCCATCCCCCTGAATTACTTATCATGAAACATTTCAATCCCAGATAGCACATGTATGTGCATATGCACATGCGTTACACGTACAGAGAAGGCCACAATGAGTATGTCTCATCTGGTGTCTCATCTGCCACCTTCAGAGAGAGACCACTGCCAATACTCTCAAGTGAGCATCATTTTCCAGCCACATCCACTCTCTCCGTGGTTCGACAACTACTATCCTGAACATTGTGTCTCTAATTCCCTTGCTTTCCCCACCTTTCTTTCTTTCTTTTTTGTTTTCTTTTCTAAAGCAAGAGTCTTGATCTGTTGTCCAGCTAGCGTGCAGTGGTGTCACTGTAGTTCATAGCAACCTCAAACTCCTGGGATCAAGTGAGCCACCATGTTTAGCTCATTTCCTCATTTTTCTTAGACTTTCACTATAAAGGAACAAATCCCCAGATAATATATTGTTGAGTGTACTATTAAAATAATAGTTATGTATGGCTGGGTGCTGTGGCTCACGCCTGTAATCCTAGCACTCTAGGAGGCTGAGGTGGGTGGATCACTTGAGCTCGAGACCAGCCTAAACAAGAATGAGACCTTGTCTCTACTAAAAATAGAAAACTAGCCAGGCATTGTGGTGGGAGCCAGTATTCTCAGCTACTTGAGAGGCTAAGGTGAGAGGATTGCTTGAGCCCAAGAGTTTCAGGTTGCTATGAGCTATGATGCCATGGCACGCTACCCAGGGAATCAGAGTGAGACTCTGTCTAAAATAAAAAGTAAATAAATAAATAAATGAATAACGTGAATTAAAATAATCATTAGTAAAAAGCATCACTTGGTACCTACTCTTCTGAGAATGGCAGCCACTTTGCAGCATGAATCACATGGCTTCACCTGACTGAGGCCTGCAGGAGCAGTTGGTCTCTACCTCGTGAACACATCACAACTCTCCCCTGGCACACTGGGCACACTTGGGTGCCTGCAGTTGGGAGTGTTTGGCACATCTCCTGATGTGCATGTGCACGAGCTCTCAGAGTGTGTGTCTAGGAGCCCAGCCAGTGAGTCACAGAGTAGGGGCATCTACAAACTTAATCATTCTGTGTTTTCCAAAGTGGTTGCACCAGCAGAGTCTGACAGCTCCCACCACCTACATCCTTGCCTTGGTATTACCAGGCATTTTAACTTTTGTTTACAGGGTGGGTGCACAGTGGTGGTTCACTGTGACCCTAACTGGACCCCATTTACTTTTTTTTTTTTTGAGACAGAGTCTCACTATGTTGCCCTTGGTATAGTGCCGTGGCATCACAGCTCACAGCAACCTCAAACTCTTGGGCTTAAGTGAGTCTCTTGCCTCAGCCTCCCTGGTAGCTGGGACTATAGGCACCCACCACAATGCCCGGCTATTTTTTTGTTGCAGTTGTCATTGTTGTTTAGCTGACCCAGACCAGATTCAAACCCACCAGCCTTGGTGTATGTGGCTGGTGCCCTACCCACCTGGCTATAGGTGCCACCCCCTACTTACTCTTGACATCCAGCTGAGCGGCATACTTGGTGAACCCCTTCAGACAGACTTTCTCCCCAAGGAGAGAGAGGAACTCCTCGAAGGCTGGGCCTGCCTCCTCATTGTTGTACATCTCCTCCTCTGAGCTCTGGCCAGCCTTGCAGTAGAGGACGCCCACCTTGTGTTTCCGGCAGAGCTACAGAGGGAAGAGTGGCTTTATGGAGACAGGCCAGGTAGGGATAGCAGGGAAATAAATGCCTTATTTTTAGGGCATTCAGCCCTGGGAGCTGCTGAGATCACGCAGAAATTCAGAACCACAGCCAGAGAGAAAGCAAAAGGGCATTGGGGCCATGTCCCAGTTGTCCCCCCCACAACTCCAGAAAGGCACAACAAGGTGCCATGCCGCCTGTTCTCCTACGACAAGCAGAGGGTGGCTGGTGATGCCACTCTTGAGTAAAAGAGACTGTTGCCTTGGCTGGCTTCCCACAGTAGGTGGACTGGGACAGGCTGAGATTCTGCAAAAGCAAAAGCTAGAGGGTTCAGGCTTATAGTCAACATTTATTCTAGGGAATAGGCCTGGGCCCCCAATAAGCATGCTTGTTTTAGGCACCCTGATTCCCTTGGTGACCTGAGCACAGACCAGCCAGTGGCTCTCCCAAGGACTGAGAGTCAGCTAGCTGAGTCTGCAGGTGGCTGCGATTCCAATAGCAACTGGGAACACTGTGAGAGAAGCCAGGGGAGCAGAGGGAGCCAGCAAGCAGAGGAGGAGGGAAGAGAGTCTTTCTCTTTCAACCTAGCGGCTATCTCATCCTCAGACTATTTCCCTCCTCAGAACAGTTATATTCCTGTTCTTGGCATCCTCAGAATTTGATAATAGGTCCCCCTCATTTGGCTAAAACCAGCTTAAGTGGGTTTCTGTTCCTTGCAGAATGGCACCAGGAGGAGAGCAGCAGCTCCTGCTGCAATGGCCTCCCACCTTAATCCCATGCTCACCCCTTGCTCATCGAGCTTCAGCAGCTGCTCTGTCACCTTGGGAGTGCTGAGGGCCAGCCGCAGGCAGTGGATGTTGAGCTCAGGAATGACATACTCCAGGGCATCCTTCAGGGGGAGGCCGCGCCCTGTCCCATGCTTGGTGGCTGTGGGCGTGGCATCTTCCAGGATGGAGCCCCGTAGGGTGATGAGCTATTCAAGGAAGAGAAGGGGAGGTTAGGAAGCCCTCAGGATCTACACAGAGAATGGAGCACACATGTTTACAAAGAGACATGCACAGTGGTTAGAAGCTGGGGGTCAGGGAGCCCTGGGTCTGAGCCAGGAAGCAGTTTGCTGCTCCTGGTTCTGTAATCTTGACTGACCTCTTACCTCTGACCTTCAACTCCATCCTTCATGTAATGGGTAGGTAACAGTATCATAACTCTGAAGGGGTGCTGGAAAGGCTAAATGAGACAATGGATGCAAAACACCTTCACTTGCTCACCATGTATTGGTTGACTGAAGTGAACAAAACAGACTCCTGTCCTTGCAGAGCTGACATTTGAGATGGGGAGGTGGGTTAGGTCAGGTAGTAAGAAGGATACTGAGTAAAGCAGGCTACCAGGAGGTGGATTCTCATTGCTATTATTATAATAACATCATATGAGAAGCACATTACCTGCTGCCTTGGATACTGCTACCACCTTGGGTCTTAAATTATAGCACTGACTTTTTTTTCTTTTTTTTTGAGACAGAGTCTCACTCTGTCACCCTGGGTAGTGTCCCATGGTGTCAGCTTAGCTCACAGTAATCTCAAATTCTTGGGCTTGAGTGATCCTCCTGCCTCAGCCTCCCAATACAATGCTTGGCTAGTATTTCTATTTTAACCACAGAGGGGATCTCATTCTCTTGCTCAGGCTGGTCTTGAACTCCTGAATTCAAGCAATCCACCTGCCTTGGCCTTCCACAATGCTAGGAACCACCACACCCAGCCTGTGGCACTGGTTTTCAACCAGTTTCAAGGAAAAAACACCGGCTGGGCACAGTGGCTCATGCCTGTAATCATTTTGGAGGCCGAGGTGGGTGAATTGCTTGAGCTCATGAGTTCAAGAACAACCTGAGCAAAAGTGAGACCCCATCTGTACTAAAAGTAGAAAAATTTGTCAGGTGTTGTTATAGCTGCCCTAGTCCCAGCTACTTAGGAGGCTGAGGCAAGAGGATGGCTTCAGCCCAAGAGTTTGAGGTTGCTGTGAGCTATGATAATACCACGGCACTCTATCCAAGGGACAGAGTGAGCTGCTATCTCAAGGAAAAAAAAAAAAACACCACCAGTGATTCTGATTTGATTGGTCTGAGGTGGGATATGTATGTATGTATGTATGTATATGTGTGTGTGTATGCACATACACATACATAATTTTAATTCCTCTCACTTGACTCTGATGTGAAATCAGGACTGGAAACCTTTGGCCAATGCTAATCATGGCCATCTTATTTCCATTACCCAGATAACTGCTTTTCAAGTTTTTCTTATAGCTTGCTACCTGATCAATTCCAGGCAATGAACTGTGAGAGAAATTCTGCTTGGTAAGATTTCTGAGGCAGATTTTACCCTCTGACAAGAGGAAAGCCCCCTTTCAACTGCCCATTTCTTTGTGCTAGGGATAGTGTATGAGGTTGAGATGTTTGGAGCTATGGCAATCATATTTTGACCATGAGCAAAGAGTCGACAAAAAGTTACAGAGAAGTTGATCCCTGCAGACATTTACCTCCCGATTTCCTTAAAAAAAAAAAAAAAAAAAAAAAGATGGGGTTTTGCTATGTTGTCCAGACCAGACTCAAGTGACCTTGTTGCTTCAGCCTCCTGAGTAGCTAGGACTACACGTATACATCCCATATACCCAGGATGTGTCCAGCTTACCTCCAGACTTCCAGTTAATTAAATAAATCCTTATTTGTTTTAGCTATGATCTATCAGGTTTTATTTATTTATTTTTTTTGAGACAGAGCCTCAAGCTGTCACTCTGGGTAGAATGCTGTGGCATCACAGCTCATACTAACCTCCAACTCCTGGGCTCAAGTGTTTCTTCTGCCTCTGCCTCCCAAGTAGCTGGGACTACAGGCACCTGCCACAATGCCTGGCTATTTTTTGGTTGCAGTTGTCATTGTTGTTTGGCAGGCCTGGGCTGGATTTGGACCCGCCAGCTTAGGTGTATGGGGCTGGCACCTTAGCTGCTTGAGCCACAGGCGCCGAGCCTGTCAGGTTTCCTATTACTTTGCAGCCAAAGAAATTTCTAACTGATGTACCTTAATTACAAATCACATATATAAAGGTACAGTTCACTGCCTTGGGTTCCAGGTCCTGCAGTAATTGTCTAGTTATATGAACAAGTCTGTTAAGGGGATGTTTTATCTATTTTACAGAAGAGGAAGCTGAAGCTCTAAGAGGTCAGGCGCCAGAGCTAACAAATGGCTGAACCAGGATCCCAACTCAAACTTGACTTCTCCAAAGCTTATTAGTTTTTCTTTCTGGCTGTGAGTATAACCCACACATATAAAGTACATAACACATATATGTATGGCCAAAGAAATGATCACAAAGTGAATACCTAGGTAATCACCACCCAAATCAAGAAACACAACACTTCCCTATGAAGTCCTTTCATAATCCTCCTCTTCTCTCCAAAGGTAGCCACATCCTGACTTTCAACACCATCACTTCTGTCTACGTTTGAGCTTCATGCAGCTTGGATTCATTTTGTTACTTGGCTTCTCTCTTTTCTCTTTTTTTTTGAGACAGAGTCTCACTATGTCATCCTCCGTAGAGTGCTTAGGCGTCACAGCTCACAGCAACCTCCAACTCTTGGGCTTAAACGATTCTTTTGCCTAAGCCTCCCGGTAGCTGGGACTACAGGTGCCTGCTGTAGGCTATTTTTTTGTTGTAGTTGTCATTGTTGTTTAGGTGGCGTGGGCCGGGTTTGAACCCGCCAGTCTTGGTGTATGTGGCTGGCGCCCTAACCACTGAGCTACAGGTGCCGAGCCTTGGCTTCTTTCTCTTGATGCTACTTATGTGAGATCCACCCATGTTGTGAGGGGCTGACATTTCTGTACCATGACAGCTTAACCCTTTCACTGCTGATAAGCAGAACTGCTGCCGGTATTTGCCAACTGTGAAAAGTGCTGTCAGGAACATTCACCTGTTAGTTCAGGTGAACACATTTCCTTCTGGATTTCTATCGAGAAGAGAAATTGCTAAATCACTGGCCCTGCTGATCTTCAATTTTACTGAATTGCCAAACAGTTTTCCAAGTGGTTGTACCAATTTACACCTCATCACCTCACCCCATCTGTGAGCCTTCCTTGCTCTGTGTCCTCGGGTTAGCTCATGCTTCTGGCCTCAGTGTGCTGCTGACCAGTAGGTCATGCTGCACACGGGACCAGCATTATACCAAGGATGCACGGCAGGGGCTGCGGAACACGACAAGGAAAATCCCCTCCCTGAGGGGCTTATTACAAGTTTCCCAAACACACCTGGGGCTATGGTTTAGTAAAGAGGATCAGTGTTAACTGCAAAACACACTCACCTAAGTCAACAAACACAGGAGGCGGCAAAAGTAACATATCATGACCTCACCTCTAAACGTCAACCCACCATTGCCAAAGTGTAGGTGGGCAAGAGGCATGTGTGAAAGGAACAGAATGAGCTCATGCTTGGGAGTTCCCAGTTCTGGTCCTGGTAATTAACAAACCTCTCTTATATAAGCAAGGTAGTCTTGAAACATCCTGAAAAGCAGTGATGTCAGGGGCTTTGCCCTGCGCTGGGTGGCCCTGGGCTTGTGGGTTTCAGTTAACAGGATCCAGATCTTTGCAGCATAATGACATTGTCCCACAGCGCCCTCTGCTGGGGAGGGACAGTGTGGACCAGAAATCTTCATCCTTTCACATTATAGACAGGTGGCCCATGGTTACATTTTGGCTCTGACCCCCTTGACCAATGCCCACTCCTGGAAAAGCTCCAAGCTCTTCCTTCCGCACTGGGGGAAGTAGGGACGGGGCAAGCCACAAGTTGCCACCTCTTTCTCCAGCTGATCATATCCAACATCATTTCCCACCTGGACAGCAGCCTGCCCCTATCTCCCTGCCTGCCCCATGCCCAGTTGGTTTTTTCTGCAGCAGCTTGAGTCATGTCACAACTCTCCTTGCTCAGAGCCTAGTGACATCTGGCAACAGGTAACAGAGTAAGTGAGCTGGGAAAGGGACAGGGTGCTATGTAAGCAGGGAGGTTCTAACATGGGCAGGCCATTCTCCACTCACTCCTGATTCCGGGCTAGGCAGTGAGCATACTCTCCAAGGAATTTTCCTGGGAGGTTACTTGGGAGTGAGTCTGCCTAGGTTCAAATCTCAGTTCTAGCTATGTGACCTGGGGTAAGTTGCTTAGTTTCTCTGCGCCTATTTCCTCATTAACAAAATGGGGATGAGAATGCCTAACTCATGGTATTGAAAGGATTCAATAACATGTATGCTGCTTAGCACTATAGCTTGTATACAGAGAAAACAACACAGGTAAGCCATCATTACATGCAGATACATGTCAAAAGTGCAGGTATAAAGCCATATACATAGTTAATAATGTTTAGTTTTTGGGTTTTTTTTTTAAGACAGAGTCTCAGTCTGTTGCCCTCAGTAGAATGCTGTGGCATCATAGCTCACAGCAACCTCAAACTCTTGGGGTCAAGCTTTCCTCTTGCCTTGCCTCCTAAGTAGCTGGGACTACAGAAGTCCTCAAAACTCTTGGCTAGTTTTCCTATTTTTAGTAGAGATGGGGTCTTGCTCTTGCTCAGGTTGGTCTCGAACTCCTGAGCTCAGGCAATCCACCCATCTCAGCCTCCCAAACTGCTAGGATTACAGGCATGAACCAAGTAATGTATAATTTTTTAAACCATGCCTGGCCAAGAATGTTTAATTTTTTAAACTTAAATAGAAGCTACAGTTTGCTTTTTTACTCACTTAATGGTATGCTTTGGAGAGTGTTTATATAAACACACACACAATCAAGATGAGTTTATATAAATACACACACACAGAGATGTATCTACTGAACAAAAATGGAGTCTCACTAGATACATGATTAAACTGGCTTTTTACACTTAACGAGACTTCTCTTTTCTACTTTGTCTACTTAAATATCATTCAAGTTCTTAGCAATGAGTATTTGGTACTTTTTAAATAAAGAAAAAACTGATAAAGCAAAAATCTGGTCTAATCCTATCAAAACTCATATTAGCCAGGTTAAAGGGAACCAGTTAGGCCTGGTGGGCCAGATAGTCCCTGGCTGGTTGGACCCTTCACTCCCACCTCCATGTTCTAGGTGAGACAGTGCCAGAAAGGGGGCCCATGACAGGGCAGTCCTGGCCTGGGGCTCATCCTCTGTCTAGGCTCTCTGGGCTGGAGGCTGGGAGCTGGTATTTAGGTGACAGGTGCCAAAGCCCAGCTCTGAGTCTGTTCCTGCCTCGGTGGGAAGTCTGGTGCTGCCAACCCTCATATTCCATCTGCCAGGTGATCCAGGCTCACTGGAGACTGTCTGTTTGGCGACCAGGATGGCCATCTGGGACAGGCCGGCGGGCTTGGAAGGCAGCCTGGCCTCCTTGCTCTGGCCCCCATGTTTGGTTGATGGGAGCCTGAGGCATGTGCATGTGGACAGAAGGTCAGATCCTGTCCCAGGGTAAGTCCTGCTCCCTAGCATAGTCCTCTGACCTCTTGGGAAAGACTGACAGCCAAAACAGCAGGGTTGATCACAACATCATACCTGGCATCATCACACTTACTTCCCCGCTGCCTGTTCTCACGCCTCATGTGTGTCAGTCCAAGAGAACCTTCCCTCAGTCTAGGAGACAGGTAACAGCACAATAGGGCAGCTCTACAAGGGACTGGGCCCAGGGCTGAGTCTGTGTGTGACCTGCATGTGTGTGAGGGCGGAGAAAGGCCTGCTTGTGGGTGTGAACGAGCAGACCTAGGCTTCCTTCCAAGCCAGGTGGGTCACGATCCGCAAGGCTGATTCAGTGTAACAAGGGGACAGCAGACTAAGACCCCTTCTGACAGCTAACTTCACTGGGCTCTCCCCAAATGTCAGGCCTTGCACTGCCTCCGAGTTCACTGGGCCCACATCACAGTCCTGCAAAACTGAGATTTCTAAGGGAGAAACTGAGGCTCTGAGAGGGGAAGCCAAGTGCCCAAGGTTCCTGCTGAGTGGTCAGACCAGGATTCACACAAGGTCTCCAACACACAGGTGTGGTCCTACCACGGGACCTTGGTACTGGTTATTCTCTCTGCCTGGTACAATCTTCTTTCAGCTGTGCACACGGCTCCCTCTCTCCCTTCCTTTAGGTCTTTACTCAAATGTCATCTTCTCAGGGACACCTCTTCCAACCAGCCTGTCTAAAACTCTAACTACTCACTGGTTGGTGACACTCACCCCTCTTCCCTGCTTTCCTTTCCACCCCAACATCCTGCTCTGTGCTGTACAATGTGCTGAGGTGTCCTGTGCAGAACACAGGCCCATGAGCATCTCTGCTGCCTTATTCCCTACAGAACCCTCAGTGCCAGGGCGTGACACTGAGAACATCGCTGTGGAATGAATGAATCCCAGACCTGTGGCCATGAGACTCAAAGAGTCCCTATGCCCTGCCTGGGGTGGACTGGAGTTCCCAGAGGCTAGTTTTGTGGGTGCTGGGGTAGGAAGTATATGGAAGCAAGCACAAGCTGGGAACGGCATTAAGCCAGTTTTTCTTTCTTTTTTTTTTTTTTGAGACGGAGCCTCAAGCTGTCCCCCTGGGTAGAGTGCTGTGGCATTACAGCTCACAGCAACTTCCAAATCCTGGGTTCAAGCGAGTCTCCTGCCTCAGCCTCCCAAGTAGCGGGACCACAGGTGCCCTCCACAACGCCTGGCTATTTTTTGGTTGCAGCCGTCATTGTTGTTTGGCAGGCCCAGGCTAGATTCGAACCTGCCACTTTAGGTGTATGTGGCTGGCGCCTTAGCCACTTGAGCTACAGGCGCCGAGCCATTAAGCCAGTTTCAAACTTACTGAACAGGAATTATAGCAAACACACACACACACACACTTTTTTTTACCTAGTACTTTTGCACTTAAGTCTTATGACTCTCAATACATATGACATTGACTGGTATTTTAAAAATTCATTCTACAGAGTCTATTTTCAATACAAACAAAAAGAAAAACACCAGCACTGTGTTGGGTGAGTTCACAGCTCCGGAATGGGTCCAACGTGCAGTCTAAGCTGAGTTTGTCAAACCCCAGAGGTAGCAGAGTGCAGTGGCTGAAGCACAGGCAGACACCCTTCCCTGCCATTCACTGGAAGGGGCTTTGGGGAAGCCCCTTCCCTTCTCCATGCCTGTTTTGTCACATATAAATGAGGACAATGGTGTTTTCATCACAGAACCTCAATGAGAGTTAAGTGAGTTACCACTGATAGAAAACCCAGAATGGGGTGGGGGATGGGAGGAGGGGGGAAGTCAGATGGGGGAGGGTGAATGGCGGGATCATACCTATGGTGCATATTGCAAGGGTATGTGTTGGCTCTATTAAGTATAGAGTATAAATGTCTTAACACAATAATTAAGTAAATGAGGTGAGGGATATATTAACCTGTATGATGTAAGCATTCCAAACTGTGTATGAAATCAGCACACTGTACCCCATAAATGCATTAGTGTATACATGATCTACCTCTTTATGATTTAATTTAAATAAAAGTGTCAAAAAAAAAAAGAAAACTCAGAACAATGGCTGAGACAGGGTGAAGTAGATTTGCAGTAACAACAGCAATGGTGATAAATATTTATTAGTATACAATTGTGGTTGTCATTTCACCCCAGTAGTTACCCATATGTCCTAAAACAGTGGGACACAGTGTGAGCTGTCACCTCTCATTCTGCCCTGGTGCTCATCTGGCCAGAAAGGTGAGCAGAGGGAGGAGGAGCCGGGGACACAGAGGCTGGTGGTCTGGCACACGTGGTTTGGGGGCTGCTTCTCCTTGGCTGCCACAAAGGCTCTGTGTCATCCCATCCTGCCTCAGTGGGAAGGTCTTGATCCAGGGATAGGGTGAGGGCCCTCAGTGCAGCATCTGCCAGCCTGGATGAGGCCCAGGACTTGGCTGGCCCCAAACATAAAGTTCTTGGCAGTGGCAGCCTGCTGTGTCTATGCCCAGGAAAGGCCAGGTCCACAGGGACTGGGGCAATGCAGGTCTGAGGGAGACCCACTGTGTGAGGTCTGCCTAGCTGACAGCTGCCCCTTTTCTAGGAGGGTCTTCCTTATTTGGGTTTTTTTTGAAGTCTCTGTCATTTTTGCTTTCCTAGCTCCCCTCTTTTTGCTGAGGACCTGGCCTGTCTCCTCTTCCAGGTGGTTCTGATGAAACAGTCAATCCCAGTGCTCTGCCTGCCCCTGGAGCACATGTCCTAGAACTGCTCAGTCTCCTCCACCAGCCCCAAACATAGTGACTGTGATGTCACTGTGTCACAGCCCAGGGTGTCGGCTTATGATCCAAGTAAGCCAGAGGCCTTCCCAGATTCAGCAGGTATAAGAGTCTATTCCTTTTGGATGAGAAGTATAAAGGTGTGGAAGACTTGAGCAGCCAGTCCCCATTTTCCCATGCCACACAGAGAGCTTGTTGGTAGCAAAAAAGAATGATATTCCCAATGCAAAAAGCAGCAGAACAGAGAGATAAGAAAGCTTGGTGATTTCCTTTGTCTCGAGTATAGGATTTCTGAAGCTAGCCCTACTCCTGCATTTGCAGTTATGTGAACCAATGAATTCTATTTCTGGCTTAAGCAAATTATAGATTTCTGTCACTTATAAATAAGAGTCTAATAAAGCATGGGTATCCCTACCAGGCCTTCTCCCCTAGCCAGGGCTGACATTTAATTCAGGGGAAGAACTCTGAAAGAGCCAGGACAATGGGACTCTCTGCTCTGAATGCAAAGTGCCCTGTAGGAAGTGTTCACAGCTGATCTGCTGGGCCTGCAGTAGAGATTCCTCAACTCCTGCCAGGCTTGTTGCCTTAATTCCTTTTTCCTTGGTGAGGGACACTTCACTACCCCGACATGATCCCTCCTCTCCTCTTTCTTATGTTAACTACGGTTAATCTCTTACAAATAGATTTTGTAATTTAAGGTTCCTAAATCAGACAAAGTAGATTCAAATCCCAGCCTGGCTGCTCATTCATGATCCTATAAGTTATTTAATTTCTCCTAGTTTCCTCCTCTGGGAAACGGAGAGACTAACAGGATCACTCTCCTGGGAGGCTGTTGGAAGACATGACACAGAGCAGGGGAACGCGTGCCCCCAGAGCCTGGCTCACACATGAGTGGCTATTACTTATGTAGTAACAGTGACAGTCATGGGACCTACCTCGCGGGTCCGGAAGATGATCCTGTACTGGTACTGAGGTCCGTGGTCCTTGTGGTCTTCCAGTTTCTCCCGCTTGATGCTCACAGCCACTGGCCCCAGCTTCTCATCCACGCCAAAGTAATTGGCATGTTCTAGAAAGAAGACAGGTGAGTTTCAGGGTCAGCTGTCTGGGAAAGAAAGGTCCTGTCCCACAGTAGGCATGATAAGATAACTGGGGCAGGCTCCTATGCAGCCCGTGGGATGCTGGTCACATAAACCTTGTGTCTGATCACAGCCACACTCAATGGAGAAACAGAAGAGGCAAAAGTGAACCTCAATGTACCACCTCTTCTCAGTCACAATTTTTCTGTTTTACTTTTTTCTTTTCTTTTCTTTTTTTTGAGACAGAGTTTCTGCCACCCTGTGTAGAGTGCTGTGACATCATAGTTCACAGCAATCTCAAAATCCTGGACTCAAGCGATCCTTTTATCTCAGCCTCCCAAGTAGCTGGGACTATAGGTGCCCACCACAAGGTCCAGATAGTTTTTGTTTTGTTTTTTTTTTTTTCAGTTTTTGGCAGAGGCTGGGTTTGAACCCGCCACCTCCAACATATGGGGCCGACGCCCTACTCCTTTGAGCCACAGGCACCACCCTCCAGATAGTTTTTTTAAAGATGATGCTGGTCTCAAACTCCTGAGCTCAAGCAATCCACTCACCTTGGCCTCCTACAGTGCTAGGATTACAAGTGTGAACCACCTCACTATTTAAGTGTGCCGTGAAATAAAATGGCTGAAAACCCCCGGTCAAGAGACTTTCTCACAGGCTCAAATCTGGGCCAAGGCCAAGTAACCTGACAGCATTCTCAGCAGCAAACTGGGGTTAAGGATAGGATGAACCCACCCCTCACCGTGGTAGTGAGAATTAAATAAATTAACATACATGGAGCATTCAGCACTGTGCCATGCACTAAGTAAGCATGTCCTAAGTGTTGGCTATTACCGTCCCCAGGGAATGATGCTTATTATCACCTAGAATACAAGACCCTAAGCATCACCTTTATCCGACCATGTTCCTTTAAACCTAGGTAACTTACACACACTGCTCTTTCCCCTTAAGGCGACAGAATCTTTAGTGCAACATGGAGCAAGCGTTCTGCTCTCTCCTCTAAAAGACAACATGCCACCATCCTGCAACTCTTCTAGGCACACAGTTCTTCCTGATATACAACCCAAGTATCTTGTGCTTGTGGGGGTAGCCACCAGCAGTCTGTCTGTCTTGACTCAAGTCCTCGAAGTTAGCATTTGCCACCATCAGAAATTCAAATGGTGCTTCAAGCAGCTGTCTCTCCATCCCATCCCAGTGCTCTGAATATTTAATGATGGTTCCTATTCTCATGAGATATTGTTGGCAAATCAAAGGCTAATCTAAGGCCAAAATACTGTGTTAATTAATGGACCCAATCAGAATGGCATCTGCAGTGGGTTAAACGATCTCTCCAGCTGGTCAGAGAACAGAATAAATATTGTAAAGCCAGGTATGGTGCTCACGCCTGTAATCCCAGTACTCTAGGAGGCTGAGGGTGGATTTCTTGAGCTCAGGAGTTTGAGACGAGCCTGAGCAAGAGTGAGATCTTGTCTCTACTGAAAATAGAAAAACTAGCCAGGCATTGTGGCAGGTGCCAGTAGTCCCAGCTATTGGGGAGGCTAAGGCAAGAGGATTGCTCAAGCCCAGGAGTTTGAGGTTACTGTGAAGTGTATGCCCCACAATACCTAGGATGAGAGTGAGACTCTGTCTCGAAAAAAAAAATATTGTATTTCACAGATACCAGTTCATTCCAGAAGCAGTTACAGGGATTGATTTTTTTGTTTTTTTAGAGACAGAGCCTTACTTTGTCACCCTTGGTAGAGGGAGTCACAGCTCACAGCAACCTCTGGGTTTAGGCGATTCTCTTACCTCAGCCTCCCGAGTAGCTGGGAATACAGGTGCCCGCCATGACGCCTGGCTATTTTTTCGTTGCAGTTTGGCCGGGGCTGGGTTTGAACCTGTCACCCTGGGTATATGGGGCCAGCGCCCAATTCACTGAGCCACAGCACTGCCCAGGGATTGATGTTGTACTCAGCACCACTGTATTCCTGGCACATTACAAATCTCAGCATAGGCCCTCAATCCCAGTAGGCACTCAGTAATACTGACCAATGACTAACTTATTTTTTTGCATAAAAATGTTTATAGCAACATTATTCATAATAACCAAAAAGTAGAAAGAAAGTGTTCATCAAATTATGAATGGATAAATGGTATGTGGTATACATATACAATTAAAAACTACTCAGTAACAAAAAGGAATTAAGTACTAATATAAGCTACAACATGAACTTGAAAATATAATTCGAAGTGAGAAAAGATAGTCACAAAAAAACATATATTATGGATCCTATTTGTATGAAATTAATGACTACCTTACTAATCCTCATACCCTTGATGTTTTCTCTTAGTAATTTTCTTTTTTTTTTTTTTTGAGACAGTTGCACTTGGTCACTCTTAGTGGAGTGCCGTGGTGTTACAGCTCACAGCAACCTCAAACTCTTGGGTTCAAGAGATTCTCTTGCTTTGGCCTCCCGAGTAGCTAGGACTACATGAACCTGCCACAACATCCAGCTATTTTTAGAGAAGGGGTCTTGCTCTTGCTCAGGCTGAACAAGATCCTGTCTCTAAAAATAGCTGGTCTCGAACTCCTGAGCTCAAGCAATAGCTCAGGTCTCAAACTCCTGAGCTCAAGCAATCCACTCACTTTGGCCTCCCAGAGTGCTAGGATTACAGGCATGAGCCACCATGCCCAGCTCTCTTAGTAATTTTTTATCCACTGCCCCCTTATCTGTTCCTTGGCTACAAATTCCCACTTGCCCATGCTGGGTTCAGAGTTCAGACTAATCTCTCCCCCCACACTAAGCTCCATTGCTACAGTCTCTATACCTATCACAATGATCTGTATCAGTCTTCCTTAACTGTTAATGGTTCTTAACATTAATTAAGAACCTTAATTTTTTAATGGTTTTAACAAATACCATTGAGTAATTTGGGGGGGGCAGGGTAGGGAGACAGAGTCTCACTTTGTTGACCTGGGTAAAGTGCTGTGGTCTCATAGCTCACAGCAACCTCCAACTCTAGTGCTTGAGCAATCCTCTTACCTCGGCCTCCAAAGTGGCTAGGACTACTGGTACCTGCATAATGCCTGGCTAGTTTTTCTGGTTTTTAGTAAAGATGGGGTCTCCCTCTTGCTCAGGTTGGTCTCACTCCTGAGCTCAAGCAATCCACCCATCTTGGCCCCCCAGAATGCTAGCTTATAGTCTTGAGCTACTGTACCCTGAAGAGTAATTTTTTTCTTTAACAGCTTCCAGGGCTACAAAGAAGTCATTTTAAAAAAGAAAATGGCAGCTAGGTGCCCATGCTCAGTGGCTAGAGCGCCAGCCCTGTGCACTGGAGATGGTGAGTTCAAACTCGGCCCAGGCCTGCTAAACATTAAAAACCAAAAAAGAAAATATCTTTATTTATTTAATTAATTAATTTATGTATTTTTTGAGATAGCATCTCACTATGTCACCCTTGGTAGAGTTCCATGGTGTCACAGCTCACAGCAACCTCAAACTCTTGGGCTTAAGCGAGTCTCTTGCCTCAGCCTCCCAAGTAGCTGGGACTATAGGTGCCTGCCACAACGCCCGGTTATTTTTTTGTTGTTGTTGTTGTAGTTGTCATTGTTGTTTAGCAGGCCCAGGCTGGGTTCGAACCCGCCAGCCCTGGTGTATGTGGCTGGCACCCCAACCACTGAGCTGCAGGCACCAAGCCGAAAATGGCTTTTTTAAAAAGCTTGATGATGAGTACTTCCTATCTGCCTGACAACTAAGTATTTTAATGGGTAATCTTATTTGATTTTCATTCCTTTCATTTAAGTATTTCTAAGTGTGGGTTGAAAAGAATGTGTTCTTTGTTGATTAAGTACAAAGTTATTAATATATAAAAATGTAAAATCAAGTTAAGTTCAAATCATTCAAATTCTCTACATCCTGATTTTTGCCTACCAGATCTGTTGACTTCAGCAAGGGAACCTGTGAACCTCTCCCACTACGGCTGTGGATTTGTCCTTCTCCCTGCAGCCTTATCAGGCTTTTAATCTGTATACCCCTAAATTAGCTTGCCAGGTATACACAGGTTCACAAGTACCAGAACTTCTTAGAAAAATTTTTAAAAATCAACATAAAATAGACTTCTCATGTTCTTCTAAAAAGTACTTTCTAGCCTTTCAGTCTATTGACACTGATATTCCCTCATTAGCTTTCTCAAGTATGCAACCATCTAGAACAGTTCTTTTCATCCCTTTATTTTTGATCTCAGTGTCGTGTCATTTTTTTTTTTTTTTTGAGACAGAGTTTCACTTTGTCGCCCTCAGTAGAGTGCTGAGGCATCATAGCTCACAGCAATCTCAAACTGTTGGGCTCAAGCGATCCCCTTGCCTCAGACTCCTGAGTAGCTAGGACTACAGGCGCCCGCCACAACACCCGGCTATTTTTAGAGATGAGGTCTCATTCTGGCTCAGGCTGGTCTCAAACCTGTGAGCTCAAGCAACCCACTTGCCTCGGCCTCCCAGAGTGCTAGGATTACAGGTGTGACCCACCACGCCCAGCCTCTCTGTGTCATTTTGTTTGTCCATGTGATGCTAATGCAATCATCTCCATTTGCTACATGAGGACTGAAGGGTGGAATGTACCACCTAGCCACTAAGCTATGAAATAGACATCCCAACCCAGGGCTACCTGACTACACACTCATGTGAGCCCTGTGGGATAAGTCTCACTCTGTCACTCTTGGGTTGAGCACAGTAGCGTCAAGCTCACAGCAACCTCAAACTCTTAGGCTCAAGTGACCTTCTTACCTCAGTCTCCCAGTGGCTGGGACTGTAGGCGCCCACTACCATGCCCAGCTAGTTTTTAATTTTTAGTAGAGATGAGGTCTCATTGGTTTCTCAGGCTGGTCCCAAACTTCTGCACTAGTTTCTCAGGCTGGTCCCAAACTTCTGAGCTTAGGCGATCCACTCATCCTGGCCTCCCAGAGTGCTAGAAGGCATTTGCCACTGCACCAGGCTCTACTTTACAAAAATTTTAAGCTAATAGTTGTGTACTAGCAGCCTATCCATTATCCATTTCCCCTTCTTCTTTTTTAACAAAACCCTATTCTTGGGGGAGGAAAAGACAGGGACTTTGTCTAAAAACTTCCATTTCCCAGGCTCCCTACACATAGGAGAGGTCAATAAGCAGAAGTGGTTGGATGGGGCTTCTGAGAAGGCTCTCTAAAAGAGGCTGACCCACCAGGAGTCTGCCTTTTTGTTCTCATACTTTCCTCTTTTTCCCTGTGCCTAGAAACACAGATATGAGTGATGGTTGGAGCTGCAGCAGCCATCTTGACCCAAAGGGGACTGGAGGCCACATTGAGGCTGGAATTCCACTGATGTTGCAGCACCCCAGCCCTATGCCACTGACCTCTGAAATTTCTTTAAGTGGAAGATACTTCTATGTTGTTGAAGCCTGTTAGGAGTAGTTATAATCAATTCTGAATCATTACAGCTGCCAGCACTTACAAATTTGGAAAGTGGCTGGGTGTGGTGGCTCATGCCTATGATCCCAGCACTCTGGGAGGCTGAAAAAAATTTTTTTTAATTAAAAAAAAAATTGTTTTTCAAAGGATCAGGCATGGAGGCTCACACCTGTAATTCTAGCACTCTGAGAGACCAAGGCAGGAAGATCACTTGAGCTCAGGTGTTTGAAACCAGCCTGAGCAAGCGTGAGACCCATCTCTGTTAAAAATAGAAAAATTAGCTGGGCCTTGGAGCAATAGTCTGTAGTCCCAGCTACTTGGGAGGCTGAGGCAGGAGGATCACTTGAATCCAAGAATGTGAGGTTTCTGTGAGCTGGGCTGATGTTATGGCACTCTAAGCCTGGGCAACAGAGTGAGACTCTGTCTCAAAAAAAAAGTAAAATAAAAAAGGAAAAGTCCATGTTAAAAAAATCCAAATTTTAGGAGAATCTTGAAAGATTGGAAAGGCTGGCAATATTGAGTTTGTCTGTGTTTCTTGCACAGTAGTCAGCTGGAGGAGAGTAGGCAGTGCCTGGTCCCTGGTTAGCACGCTTCACTTCTGTACTCTGTATACTGCTTGCTCGGCCCCATAGCCGCCTGTTCTCTGCAATATGCTATGGTCCCTCCCTGGAGGCACCAGGAAATCTAATGATGTACAAAGCCCATCTCTCCTTGATGAGATCACAGATCCACCTTCAAAATGAATCCAGAACTTGCCTGTGAGATTCTTCCCCACTGCTGGGCTCCTCTCCCAGCCTTGTCCATCACCACCTCACACTCAGACTACTGCAGCAGCTTCCTCCACCCCCGACCCCCACCTCCGTTGTCCTGTCCCACCCTTCTCCCCTGAGTCTGTTCCCTGCACACAGCCAGAGACAGACTGTAACACGGGAGTCAGATTAGGGCCCTCCCCTGCTCAGAGCCCTCCTATGGCTCCATCTTACTCAGGGTACAAATAAGGGTTCTTTGCCAAGTTCCACATGATCTGCCTTTGTCATTTCTCTGCCTCAGCTCCCTCCACTTTCCCTCAGTCACTCTGTTCCAGCAATACTGGCCTCCCACCTGTTCCTCTAGTATTCCAGGACTCTTGTACTTGTTGTTCTCTGGGCCAGGAACACCGTCCACAATTTCTGTATGGCTCTCTCCCTCAATCCCTCTGGCTCAGTACTGAGATGGCACTTACTCAGGAGGCCCTCCCTGACCCCATGATGATCGCTGTCAGCCCCACCTGGAACTCCATTCCTTTTTCTCCATCCTACAACATCTAGCATCCTACAACACCTTCCGTGTTTTGTACATTTATCTTGTTTTACTAGCTACTTAACCCTCCTAAAACATTAAGCGTTAGGGAGACAGAATTTTTGTTTCAAGCTAGTCAATACCATATCCCCAGGCTCTAGAAAGTGCCTGGCTCACAGCTGTACCGAGCTCCTATTTGCTGAATACATGTATGTCTGTTATGTCACACAGCACAAGCTTTATCAAGTATTCACTGTGACCTTACAGCTCCCTGGGAAGGAGTCTGCCTTCCTGCTGATCCTCAGGACCAGAGCAGAGCCTGGCACAGAGGGAATGAAGGAGCACGGGGGTCTCAAAGACAAGAGTAGCCCCCCTTCCGCATCACCTTTGCCCACGAAGTAGTCCTGGTAGTAGCGGGCGCCCAGGTCCACGTGCTCGATGCTATACTGCCGGGGCCGACTCTGCGTCCTCTGCTGCTCCTTGGGCACCTCCAGCACCGAGATGCTGGCATTGGTGCGGTAAGCACTCAAGGCGGGCTCCGCCGGGGGACCCTCACTGCCACTCGGGGAGCCCACGGAAGCCCGGGAGAAGCTCACATTGCGCTCACACTCGCCTCCGATCTCATTGCGGAAATGAGGGCAGCTGAGTAATAGGTCATTACTGTTGTCATCGCCCAGGTCCTGTTCCAGGTTCTCCTTGCAGTTCAAGTCCTCTGTGCTGGTGAAGGCTGGGTCCAGGCCCCCTAGGCTGTGGGCCCGCGAGGCTGTGAGCGACGCCATGGCCGAGGCAGCCGAGGCGGCCGAGGCGCCCGTGGTGGTGTTACGCCGCTGGGCCACGGACACCCTGTTGGCGGCTGCCTCGTTGAGGTCAAACAGCATGCTCTGCACATCAAAATGGGCGAAGCTCTTCTGACAGACCCACGGCCTGCTGGCTTCTGGGGGGCTCCGACCCTCGTCGGCATCCCCCAGGGACCGGCCAGCTTCCCCGTCTGGCTTGCTGCTCCTCAGCTTCCGGAAGATGGATGAGTCCACTGTGTCCCCGCTGCCCAGGCCCCGCATGGGCTTCTTCCGGGCCTTCTCCTTCTCCTTCATGGGCTGCAGTGGTAGGAGACTGTCCTTTGAAGGCTGCCCATTGCGGGGGTCCCCTTTGGCTCCACCGCCACTCCCTATGGGGTGTGGGCCTGGATCTGCCCGTAGGAGCTCAGAGAGGTTCTGGGAGCCCCTGGCCTCGGGCTGCTCACTGCGGAATTCGTTGAGAATATCGAAAAAGCTCTGCTCGGGCACACCCTGCACATCAATGGACGAGGTGCTCCCGTACTCGCGGAAGAGCGGCAGTGCCCCCGTGTGCCGGGCCCCCCGTGGTTCCCCCGTGTCCTCAACATCACACTCACTGAGCGTGATCTCGCTGCTGCTGCGGTGCTGCAGGGGGAGGAAGGCCCTGCCTGGGGACCGGGGCCATCCGTCCTGGAATTCTACATCTTTGGACCTTCTCCTGGAGAGTCGGTGGAAGGCTTTGGACCCTGAGGAAGGTGGGGTGCCAGCAGGGAGCTGTCCATTCTGTACACTCCTTATGGAATGAGCCACCTTGGGGGCCTTTGTGCCATCTGTATCCTGTGAGGGGCTTGGGTTGTTCTGCTCTCTCAGGGCCTCTCGCTTGGGTGGCCAGTCGGCCACTCTTGCACGCACACCCATCTTGGGCATTGCAGGGGTGGTGGGGCTAGGGCGGGTGGTGGCAGTGGCCGGGCTCTCACCAAGAGGCTGGGACATGCTGCCATTCTGGGCCCAGAATCCCATGGGAGCATAATCCCCTGTGTGTGGCCCAGGGAGGACATCGGCCCCCCTGGCCCCACAGCTGGCTGCCAGGTCCACACCATCATTGGGAATGGGCCGATAGGTGGTCATAGTCCACGGGCAGTGGAGTGCTGCTGGCCCCCGTAAGCTGTGGTGTGACACTATGGGGTCCCCTGCCCCTCAGCCATTGTTCAGCAGGGCTGCCAGTCCCAGGATGAAGGATGCTGGTCCCCGAAACCTGATGGGAAGGTTGTGAGCCTGTGGAGTCCAGTTCTCCACCATCGCTGTACACAGCCAAGCCAAGGACAACCTCAGGAGGCAGTTGCTGTCTTGGGGGCTCCAGACTGAGATGCTCAGCAGGGCAGAGCAAGCAGCAGTTGTAGATGCCAGCCTGCAGGCAGCAAGGGTGTATTCCCAGCCATGCTGAAAGAGGAGAAAAGGAAAATGTGAGATGTGATGAGCACGCTGGTGTTCCCAGAGAATGGGAAATGTGACTCTTTATTTTTTTGACAGCTTTACTCATTAAAAAAACTTACATTATAGAAATTTGCAAACACATTCAAAAGTAGAGAGAGGACTAGGATAAGCCAACAAGCCAACCTCCAGCTAGAACAAAATGAACTGTTTGCCATTCCTGTCTCATCTTTCCATCTGACCTATACCTTTCTGCTTTTGACAATATTTTAGGCCAAATCCTAAAGGTCATTCCATCTGTAAATATTTTAGCTTGTATCTCTCACAGATAGAGACTTTTAAAAAATAGCCTTGATTACCATACCCATTTAAATTAACAGGAATTTCTTATCAGACACTGTCCTATGTATATTACATGTTCCTTACTGTCTCCTGTGAGTTGTCTTATTCAAATCAGGATCCAAATAAGACACACCCTTGGCTTTGGAAGATTTTTTTTTTTTTGAGACAGTCTCACTTTGTCACCCCTGGTAGACTGCCATAGTGTCATAGCTTACAGCAACCTCAAACTCTTGGGCTCAAATGATTCTTTTGCCTCAGCCTCCCAAGTAGCTAGGGTTATAGGTGCCCACCACAATGTTTTTAGAAATGGTGTCTTGCTTTTGCTCAGGCTGCTCTTGAACTCCTGAGCTCTAGCAATCTACCCCCCTTGGCCTCCCAGAGTGCTGGGATTATAGGCATGAGTCACTGTGGCTGGCACAGAAGATATTTTTCTTAAATGTCTTCTACTCTATGATAGCCACTTTCCTTTATGTTGATGCTATTTGTTAGTTTAAGGAAAGCGATCACTTGTTCTGTGGCTTTCCCCAGTTGGGGGATGCCTGTGGTGCCATTTAACATGTCCCTCTGCCCCCTGTATTTCTTGTTGCCTGGTGGCTTCACATAGAGGCCAGATTGTTGTCTGTCTGCTCTGTATTCTGCCCGATCCAGCTACTCCACTAGGAAGGAAGTCAAAATGACAGATGAGTCAGTATGAGCACCAGCAGACTTTGGGGAAGAAAGCCACAGAAGGGTTGTCTCCCCATTACTTCTTTGCAGGGATCTTCTCAGTGACTCTTTACAACACGAGAAAAAAACCCAAACCTCTCCCCAGTCCCTAAGCCCCTGAGACCTGGCCCCTGACAATGTCTTTGATGTATTTCCCCATCCTCTAAGCACTAATGACATTGGCCTTTTATTTTTTTTGAGACAGAGTCTTACACTGTAGCTCTAGGTAGAATACTGTGGTGTCTTAGCTCACAGCAACTGCAACTTCAAATTTTTAGGCTCAACTGATCCTCTTGTCTCAGCCTCCTGAGTATCTAGGACTACAGGCACCTGCCACAATGCCTGGCTAGTTTTTCTATTTTTAGGAAAGACAGGGTCTCATTCTTGCTCAAGCTGGTCTTGAACTCCTGAGCTCAGGCAATCCACTCTGGTCTCTCAGAGTGCTAGGATTACAAATGTGAGCCATCACACCCAGCCTAGCCTTCTTATTTTAGAGACAGGGTCCTACTCTGTTATTCAGGCTGCTGGTGTACAGGGGTACAATCACAGCTCACTGTAACCTCTAAGTCCTAGGCTCAAGCAATCCTTCCACTTCAGCCTCCTGAGCAGCTGGGACCACAGGTGTGCACCACCACACCTGGCTAGTTTTCTTATTTTTATATTTTGTAGAGACAGGGGTGGGGGGCAGGGGGGTTGGTCTCTCAATATTGCCAAGGCTGGTCTCAAACTCCTGGCTTTAAAGGTACTTCTGCCTTGAACTATCACAGAGTAGGGATTACAGGCGTTTATCTGTTCCTGACCTACAATCACTTTGTTTTTTGTTTTTTTGCTGTACTAATCCTTATGCAAGATATTTGGATATCCTTCCTCAGTTCTTTTTTTTTTTTTGAGACAGAGCCTCAAGCTGTACCCCTGGGTAGAGTGCCGTGGCATCACAGCTCATAGCAACCTCCAACTCCCGGGCTCAAGCGAGTCTCCTGCCTCCGCCTCCCAAGTAGCTGGGACCACAAGCGCCCGCCACAACGCCCGCCACAACGCCCGGCTATTGTTTGGTTGCAGCCATCATTGTTGTTTGGCGGGCCCAGGCTGGATTCGAACTCGCCACCTTAGGTGTATGTGGCTGGCGCCTTAGCCACTTGAGCCACAGGCGCTGAGCCCCTTCCTCAGTTCTTTACCAGACTAGTTCCTTTCCATGATGTCAACTCTTCAACAAAGACTTCCCCAAGCCACCCTACAGAGACAGAGAAGCCTTTCTCAATCACCCACCCACTCAGCTTTCCATTTTTCTTAATAATTCATTTGTTTTACTGACTCTCCATCACTCAAATGTCAGCTCTAGGAAGGCAAGAGTGTGCAGGTCACTGATGTAGCTGCAGTGCCTAGAACAGTGTCCAGGACATGTGTGAATTATTTATTATATCAATGAGCAAACAGATGGCCTCTGCCTAATCTGAGTGTAAGTATACGGCGATCTGAAGGGCTCTGGGGAAGGGAGTTCATGGTTAGCAGTGAAAAGCTCCCTGAAGGTTGGCTTCCCTTTGTCTCTACCTTGAACTCCTGCTGGAGACAAAGTGGGCCACCGTCTGTGCTGGAGCCTGTTGCTTACCCAGCAGCTGTGCCCCTTTCCTTCTGCCAACAGTATTAACTTTGTCCAGGGCAGTGGAGTGCTTGGTTGAGCTGGGGACCTGACTCAAGGTGACCCATAACTTTTTTTTCTCTTGGAACTACAGCTGGACGTGGACCTTCTGGCCAAGCTGTTGGCTTCCTCTGTGTGTACATGGAGGGGCTTTTTCTAACTTCTGCCCAGAGGTCTGGCGCAAACTGGCAGGCTCATGGGGCAAAACAGTGAGGACAGCTTACTATCTGGGGAGGGTAGGGAGCAGGGTCTCCTCTGTTCCATGAGCACAGGAACAGCCCTAAAGTTGTGTCAATGTTACAGGCCAGCAGTACAGAGGACGGGCTAGAGAAGGGGGAAGAAACTGGAAAGCCACAGGGTCGGGTTGCTCAAGGTAGTTGGGAGAGAAGCCAGGAGGCACCTGTGGTAAACTTTGGACACAGGGCACCTTCTGAACAGGCAAGGGAAGCCTTAGTTCTTGCCAGCTGAGCCTCGCAGGAAGGTGAATGTCAAATCATCTGGTTTTCCTAGGGACACCAGAAATCTAGAATTGCATGCAATATCTTCCAGTTTGAGAAGCAAAAATAATAACAGCAACAATAAACTGCCATATACACAATCTCTTTCATGATTTCCTTGATGGGCTCTGTTATAAAGCTGCTGGTTTGCAAATCTTGGGAATGGTGCAAAACATCTGGACACACTTTCCTCCAGCAAGAATTTATTGTTTTTAGACTTAATGATTTTCACTGCTTTTTCTTTTTACTTATTATTATTTTTTTTATTGAGACAGAGTCTCACTTTGTGGCCCTCGGTAGAGTGCTGTGGCGTCATACCTCACAGCAACCTCCAACTCTTGGGCTCAAGTGATTCTCTTTGCCTCAGCCTCCCCAGTAGCTGGGACTACAGACACCTGCCTCAATGCCCACCTTTTTTTTTTGTAGAGACAGGGTCTCACTCTGGCTCAGGCTTGTCTCGAACCCCTGAGCTCAGGGCAATCCACCCGCCTCGGCCTCCCAGAGTGCTAGGATTACAGGCATGAGCTACCGTGCCCGGCCTTCAATGTTTTTTTATCTAACAATGGCATGTTGAATGATGTATATTTCAGGGTGTCCAACCTGCGGCCCAATAGATTATTTGAAGACTGTTTTGCTTATCTGCGGTGTCAGATATGGCAAAAGGTACGTGTGGACCTTTTCTTGTGCTCATTGACTTTTGTTAGTGTTTGTGTATTTAATTGTGGGCTGAGACAACTCTTATTCTAATGTGTGGCAGACAAGCAAAAAGGTTAGATACCAGTGGCAGACATTCATGCTTTCTCTCTTGAGGTTCTTCCTTAGTACTGACGATCTTTTCCATAGAGCACTATGTGTAATGGAGTCTTTAAGGTCCTTATGAACCTCTAATTTAGAGGCTGAAATGGAGACACTGTCTTTAGGGCAAGTACACCACTTTGCTGTCTTCAGTGTTGACTCATGGGGTTCTAGGTGGTCTGGGGCATTGTTAAATATCAAAATATCTTTTTTTTTTTTGAGACAAGAGTCTTACTCTGTCACCCTGGGTAGAGTGCTATGGGCATCACAGCTCACAGCAACCTCAAACTCTTAGGCTCAAGCGATCCTCCTGCCTCAGCCTCCCCAGTAGCTGGGATTACAGGCGCCCACTGCAACACCTGGCTAGTTTTTCTATTTTTACTTTATTTTTTTTAGAGACAGAGTCTCACTTTGTCGCCCTTAGTATTGTGGTGTCACAGCTCACAACAACCTCTAGCTCTTGGGCTTAAGCAATTCTCCTGCCTCAGCCTCCCAAGTAGCTGAGACTACAGGTGCCTGCCACAGTGCCCGGCTATTTTTTGTTGCAGTTTGGCCGGGGCTGGGTTTGAACCCGCCACCCTTGGTACATGGGGCTGGTGTCCTACTCATTGAGCCACAGGCGCTGCCCTAGTTTTTCTATTTTTAGTAGAGATGGGGGTCTTGTTCTTACTCAGGCTGGTCTTAAACTCCTAAGCTGAAATGATCCTCCTGCCTTGGCCTCTCAAAGTGCTAAGATTACAGGCATGAGCCATCATGCCCAGCCATATACTCACATTCTTAAAGCCAAATCTTTTACTAAAATCATCAAACCACCCTTTTCTGACATTGGAGTCCCTGGCTTTAGATCCTTTACCTTCCTTTTGCTTTAAGTTGTCATATAATGACTTCACTTTTTTTTGAATCATGTTAAGAGTCTATAGGTATGCCTTTTTTATAGCCATCATGCATATAAAAACTGCATTTTCAATATAAGATCGCACTTTCACAAAAAGCGCAAGGTCTTTGTGCCTCCTGGTGTAGGTGCAGCTACCGCT